TTATTCAGTCCAGAATCTGGACTGAGCGCTGATTGGCCGATTAGACAAACAATTTTTTAAATCTGTCATTTGATTGGCTGGTGCTAATTAGATTTATACTATTGTTGTTGATATATTTTATAACGATCACAACTACAATTATAGCCGGCCCACTAAATGGCTGAATTTAAATTAAAACTGCAGTAAAATTAGAAAATAATCGCGAATTAGCGAAATATATTGCAAATGTAGCTTATATTAAATCGCCATCAGATTGCACTATCGACTAACTGACGTATAGTTATAAAGTATACATAATATATATATATAGTTACTGAAACCTCTGCGGAGGAGAGAGCAATCGGGTGGCGATTTAATATAAGCTACATTTGCAATATATTTCGCTAATTTGTGATTATTTTTGTTTATTTTGTGAGTTCATTCCAGTTTTAATTTAAATTCAGCCGTTTAGTGGGCTGCCTATGCTATAATTACATTGTTGTTGTCGTTGTATGAAATCTAAATTTCTCCTGCTACATTTTGATTGATACTAAATATAAACTTTGCTGTGGGCGGAAAGCGATCAGGTTAAGTTTTGTGTCAGGGCTCTATTTGTAAAATAGAGCCTGATACTCAGGTTACTCCTAACCCTATACTCCTAACCGATTTCACTCGTCAATGAGGAGGGGGGAGGGGTGTACTATTTTTTTAGAATTCATGTGAAGGGGGTCATTGAATTTTTTTGTGATGTAGGGGGTGGGGCAGGATATTTTGTTTAGTTGTTAATTGAATTTTGCCAGCCCACCCCCAATCATAAATAATGAATGGTCCCTTATTTGTTTGATACTTCAATTGGACATTACTTTGTCAGCTTCTTGACATGTATTTCTTGCTTTTATATTTATTTGGTTAAATATTTCAACTTGAATGAGAAATTCATTTTATTAAAGGATTCTTCGGATTGGATCGAAATTGTTTATCAAAACTCGGATCAGATTCGGATTAGACAATTTCGGATCGGATTTTAAACATTAGCCAATTGTCGGAATATAAACGTTGAATCCGGTCCGATGCACACCTCTAGTGTACACATACAAAAAGAATGTTGCGGTTAATCATTGAAGGATTAGTTTGAAGGATTTGTGAGATTCAGATTTTTTCAACATTATTTTTGACTATATTGACGTCATATTGGCGTCTGTGTGGTAGAAATGTATATTCGACCCTGATTTGACCTTTCCTTTAGTACAGTGATGGTGATATATGCAAGCCACGTCACCTTTGTATTTTGCTTTTTAAAAATGATGACATCATCTTCCCTAGATATATCTAAAGATGCCTATTTTCACAACAAATCTTCAGAGTTTCTCTCGCAATATATACAAGACTGCAATTGTTTATACTCTACTAGAGTATTGTCAATATTTTTATACCCGTCGGTCATCGTCGTGATGTCGTCGAAGCTTGATTAAATATTTAAAACTAAAAAATGTTTAATAAAAACGTCGTATGGATAATCCATAATCCTGGTCATATTTCTAAAATCTTCAACTCGCTACAGATAGTAACGTTTCGAGCGATATGAAGGCCTTCGGGCAGCGACGTCTCGAGCGATATGAAGGCCTTGTGGCGAATATATTGTATTTGAAACAGTGTTCTTCAAAAATACAAATGATATTAAAACCATGCACTCTTATCGACAAAGTAAGGATGCTTAGTTCGGTAATTTTCTACCCTGAGATTAAAACCTATGAGCATTTCGAAGACCACATGCTTCGAAATACGAGAACATATAGTAAACACGAAATACGAGATATTAACTTACCGAATGCAAATTTTGGTTTCGCAACAATGAACGCACAAAGACGAATAACATTGCTCGATTTAACATATTCCCGCTCTGTAGTATCTTGTAAAAATATGTTGTCTCTTGTTTCTATATGATTATCCTTTTCCTCTCTTTCATTCTCACTTAGAAAAGACGCGGTTGTTTGCGTATTATTTGCCATAATTTTTGTTAACTTGTCATGTTTTCTGGTTTTGATATTTCTGAGTCTTCTGACATCTGTTCAAACTTTGATATTGATGATACATAAATACATAATAGCTGGAGAATTCCTTGCTCATGGCACCATTAGCACCAACATTCCTTAATTTTCCCAGTAAACTCGGCAAGGCAGTTGATCAGTGTGGAAAGGAAAGACGGCACACATTTGCAGTGCTGTAAATAATTGTTGAAGGGATTTGTAGATGGGAATTATCGAGTGTAAATTTTATACTTATTTATAAATAGACCTAACCAGGATGCAACTATTCCCCCTGATTAGCACTAGTTAGAAGTTGTGTGTCAACGTATTTCGACATATTATCATGTAAATATAATTTAAACATAGTTAGAAAATTGCCTAATTAGAAAATTGGGGCTTTCTCGATGTATGAACAACTGAATTGTACTACTGGTTACATTATACCCATGATTTCATTTGTTCATACTCCCAGGAACTACTGAAAATAGTCATGTTTAATGTTATTGTTGTTGTGTCTATAATAGACTGTTTAGGAGGACCAGATTGGAAAAAGTTGTAACTTTATCTGTTTATCCTCAATAAATAAAGTGCTATTATTTTACATGTATTATTATTCCATCCAGCAAACTGACCTGACGTCATTTTCGGAAGATGGAAGAGTTGTTAAATGGCTATGTAACTAACCCTACCCTTACTCTAACCCCTAACCCTAATCGCAACCTAACTCTAACTCTAACAGAATTAATGAAAAAATCCAAAAAGAAACGACTTTAGAAAATCGATAGGGCAGTTTACTGGATGGAAAATAGTGCTAACCATTCGTCCTCTGGCAGGAATCGAACTGCGGTCCTGCGATTCCAGGCAGTAGTGCAGCGCTGTAACCAACTGAGCTGTAATAAAGAGACCGTTGTCGAGCTCAAACCACAAGTTCATGTACAAATATAAAGGTGATGCCAATGTACGGTGTATACAGCTATTTCAATTAAGGTTGTCCCCGAGCAAAGCGGAAAAGTCGAATACGAGCGCGAATTAAGGCTGCTGGCGGGAATCGCTAAAAAAGTCATTAATTAGGGTTTGTAGGTAAATATCAGGATCTTAGGTAAATATCAGGATTTGGGTCATTATATCTCACTCGATAGTCGATATAACTCAGTAATTGTTGAAGGGATTTGTAGGTGGAAATTTAAGGTCGATAGTTGCATTTTTCGCATGTGCTCCTGATAACTGGTTAGATCTAATAAATGTATAAAACTTCCACTCAAAATTTCCATGGTGTGCGTAATTTTGTAACATAAATTAATTCCTTTTTAAGGAGTAACATTGTGAAGACAGTGATTTGCGTTACTTTTTTGTGCTTTTTAATTTTCCCAACCTTAACGCATATCTGGAAATTTCAGAAGGAAATGGCATTGAAGTTGAATGTCTGTCGAGGGTTTACGTATTATGTGCCTAACTATCATTAATATAAGTACGACTTGTTCTGCAGGTTGCTTTATAGGTGCATTTGATACTGTAGCAGTTCAATCTTATTTATTCGCGCATCGAAATCGAACAAGTAATTAGTAATCAATTACTTTTCAATTAACAAGTAATTAGTAGTTTTCGTAATTATACTTTTCCACTAATTACCTTTTCAGAGAAGTAATTGTAATTTGTAATCAACTTTTTTGCCTGATTCCCAATTCAACTTGATCATATAAACTTTAATTGATCGAGGTCAGGAAAAATTCGAACTATGTAAAACTCCTGTTTCTAAGGATAATATCCTCCTCCGCAACTAATTATCCCCAATTAACACCTCCGCAGCAAATTATCTGGTATTTCTATAGAAGATATCGTCAGCATTTGTAATTCCTAAAATCCTTGTAAAACATATTCATCGTTCTGTAAATTTGTTTTATTTATAGAAAGCTTTAGCAATCCGTAAATGGCGTCATAAAAGCAATCTCACGCCAGTGGGCAGGCAAAGTGAGGCAATTAATGTGAGGCAAATTGACAAAATTTCTTTGTGTGGGGAAAATTTATACGCCTAGTAAGCACAATTGATAGTCACACGTCATTTCCGCGTCCCGCGCGTCGAATAAAACAGGAATATATGTATTCGATCTCAAGGAGTTTTACCGTTTAGCCTGCAAATGGGTAGTTCCAATCCAAATGTTTTTCTGATCTACCCATTCGCAGGCTCGCCTATGGAGAAGGCTATCAATTCGTGACCATTCGTGGTCTTTTTGAAACAAAAGCCAGGGGAAAGTTGTTCTTCGATGCTTCTCTTGCGATCAGAAAGACGCCAGTTTTTTGTATTAGTGGTAGATCTTTGAAATTCAAACAGTCGGTATGGTTGCACTAGACTAGTTTTTGTCGGCGATTTTCTCGTCCTGGTGGATGTGAATGAGTGACCTCGCTGACAAAAGAATGGAATCCACTGATCAAAGTAGCGCTGGATAGCGCATCGGCTAAATGAAGCTAATGGAGATCATAATGGTGTTCCCAACTAATTTTCCCGTGAATAACTTATAATGAGATCACGCCAAGATGGCTGCCACAATTCTCACTGTCTAACGTTCTAAAACTCATATATTAGGAGAGATTATGGAGGTAGCATGGGGACGAAAATAGACCCACAATTCAAACTACAATTACCAATGTATCGATTAAAAAAGAGAATTGAATGTTATCCTTGGAAGTTATAATCATTAGTTACAGATTAACGAACAATATAACAAGTGCAAGACATGCAAGCAGCTCAGCTTGAAATCCAAGTCATGCTCGTCACAAAGTCATTCAAGCTCAGTCGTGACGTGTCTTGCACGATCGAATGATTGTCCTCATGACCGACACGACGTCCTTGTTTTTTTAAAACCTTCGTTTTCGCTCGTCCCCACTAATTTAATAAAAAACATGTGGATGCCAACAGTAACAAATGACAAGTGCATTTGCCATGATATGATCTTAATACTGCCGGTCGCTCGTTTTCGACTTGTGCTTGTATTCCAAAACTCACTTCATGCATGCAATTCATTCAGCTCAGTTTATATGTCGCACAAAACATTGGATATCGTTGCCTTTCAGCAACAGCATTCTTAACGGTAAAATCAAATTAATTAAAAGAAGAAACACCATCAGGTCTGACCAGCTCAAATCTTATGATCACAGTGGCGAGCTATAGCCATAGCAACATGTCATGCTATGCAAATTTTTTAATGATGAATTAGCAATAGCAATTTTTAATGATTAATTAACATCAATGAAAAGATCTGGTCTATGTTTCTCAAATAAATAGCGAAAATGGACCTCATTCTAATTTTATCTAAATTTTCCTGTCAGATAGGTCCGAAGCCCAAACGTTTTGCGTTCCATTCAACAATTTGACCGTTCTGATCGGTCTGGACGTATTAATCGGAAAGCGCCCTTCAGGCTTCCGATACAGGTTTATTAGCATAGTAATGACCATTTCATTTGCCATTACTAGCTTCGCCACTGTATGACCACGATTTACTGATTGTTCATTCTTAAGAGAGTTGACTTGCAATGACTTGCAGACAAGCCGCGGACTCAGTGCCGTAGCCAGAACGATAATTGGGGGGGGGGGGGGGG